GTGAGAAGGATCAGGAAACAGTATTGGTTCCCCAGGTGTCTGGGGCCCCAAGACTAGGAATGGCACAGGGTCCAAGCTAGAGTATAGAATGGCGGGCGGGGGGGCAGGGGGGTGGTGGGTGGGGTGGAAGGGTGAATGAGGCTTAGGGAGTCCCGGCGCGGAGAGCTGCGCTATAGACTTACCCCAAGAGGCCTGAGGATAGGAGTGCAGGCTAGGAGAGTTAGCGGGTGATGCAGGCCCAGGGAAGCAGAGAGAGGTGAGGGCGGGGTCAGGACCAGAAGCGGTGCTCCTGGAGCCCAAGAAAAGGGACTGAGTTGCTCTGTGTGAGAAGGATCAGGAAACAGTATTGGTTCCCCAGGTGTCTGGGGCCCCAAGACTAGGAATGGCACAGGGTCCAAGCTAGAGTATAGAATGCCAGGCGGGGGGGCAGGGGGGTGGTGGGTGGGGTGGAAGGGTGAATGAGGCTTAGGGAGTCCTGGCGCGGAGAGCTGCGCTATAGACTTACCCCAAGAGGCCTGAGGATAGTCATGTTTTATTTTTATCACATTAGCTAGAACATTTAAAATTATTGTTCCTTATTTTATGTCCATTCATTGCTGGTAGGGTGCAGAGAATTAATCTCAAGGGTTAGTAGTAATGTGAATGACCTTTTTGGGAAGCAGTTAGGTAGCATATATGAAGAACTTTCATTTCTTAAAAAATCAGTCATTTCTGAGTACCATAGTAAATATACTTTAAAATTTTATTATTATTATTATTTTTATGTGCATGAGTGTATTGCCTGTATGTATGTAAGTGCATTCATGTTGTGCAGTGTCCTCAAAGTTCAGAAGAGGGCATCAGATTTTCCTGGAACAGGAGTTCCTGACAGCTGTTAGCTGCCATGTGGGTGCTAGGAATTGAACCCAGGTCCTCTGCAAAAGCAGCCAGGGCTCTTAACTACTGAGCCATCTTTCCAGCTCCATAAATAGACTTTTTGAAATACAGAGACTATTTTTTCCACAAGCTCTTGACAGCAGTATTTCTAAGAATAGCCTTTTCAACTTTCAGTATGTTCTTTTTTTCTTTCTTTCTTTTTTTGGTCTTTTGGAGACAGGGTCTCCTTGTAGTTCCAGCTGGCCTGGAACTCACTATGTAAATCAGGCTGGCCTTGAGCTCACAGAGATCTGCCTGCCTCTGCTCCCAAGTGCTGGGATCAAAGGCGTGTGCCACAACACTAGGCTCAATATATTCTTTTTTATTTTATTTAAAAAAATATTTTTTTTTTTATGTGTATGAGTGTATTGCCTACATATAGGTAAGCACACCTGTGTCGTGCAATGCCCACAGAGGACAGAAGAGGCTGTCGGATCCCCTGGAACTGGAGTTACGGACAGTTGTTAGCTGTCATGTGGGTGCTGGGATTCCAACCCGGGTCTTCTGCAAGAACAACCAGTGTTCTTAACCACTGAGCCATCTCTCCAGCCCCATCTTTTTAAAAAATGAATATTTTTATTGGGTTTTTGTGCATTTCATGCAATAAGTCATAATCATATTTAGGTCCTAGATTATGTCCCTACATTGGATTTCCTGCATTCTGTCACATATGTTGAGGCCTATCTGGTCAAGGTTTTGTACCCAGATGTCCTGTGGTGCAAGTTCATCCATTGGGGTCTAGTCAGCCTATCTAGTCAGTCCCTTAAAGAGGATCAACTCTCCTTCACCCAGCAATAGTTGGTTGCCAATAATTCCTTGGCTAAGGTTGGGGCTGCTGCCCATTTCCCCATTCTGTGCTGGGGTGTTGTCTGATTGAGTCAGTATGGGTATTATGCATGCTGTCACCATTGCTACAAGTTCATCTGAGCAAGTTCCCAGTGGCCTGAAAGCCTCTGTTTTGTTATGTTCATGCACCAACCTTGGCTCTTAAAATCTTTCCAACCCCTCTTCCACAATGGTCCCTGAGCCATAGGTAGGTGAGGTTTAATATAGGAGTCATCTCCAGGGAAACACAACTCTGCAGGCTCTTATTTGCTACACCTTGACCATTTTTGGCCTTCTGTGTACATCACATTCTGTTTCATGAGGAAGCTTCACTGGTGAGAATTGAGGGGTGCATTAGTGTTCTCTCTAACCCCTGTTCCATTATATTTCATGAGCCTTAGGTATAGAGGTTCCACTGTAGATGTGTCACTTAGGTCTGGGCATCTCTTAGATGCATAGTGTCTGTGTGTCACCAGTTATAGGACTCTGTAATAGCCTCCATCTGTTGCAGAAAGAGGCTTCTTTGATGAGTGGTATATAGTATACTTGTCTATAAATATAAGGATCCATCATACAGTAAGAAATTTCATTTGTCTAAAGATATGACAAGGTTTTCTCTAGCATCTGTATCCTCTCTGGCAATGTATATTTGGGTATGTTTACAGTGCCACTAGTGAGTTCCTTCCCATTGAGAGGGCTTTAAGTCCAATTAGATAGCTGCTGATTACCCCCCAGATAACAGTGCCACTATTGCACCAATATAGTTTGTTCTGCCAGTCGTGGTTATTAGGTTTGAAGGTAGGGTTGGACCATTGATTGATTTTCTCCTTTAGCACCTTGCATAGTATCCTCTAGAACTATGAGAGCTAGTCTTCAGGGAGGAGGATTCCAGGTCAGTTCCAGTTCCAAGTCCTGTGTCCAAAGTATGTCCTGTCTTCAGCAATAGGGTCTTACTTCCCTTCAAGTTCTGGGAGGTAATCAAGGGCTGTGGCAATAGCCTGTGTTATTTTGGGAGTCTTTTGGACTATCCTGACTAACAACTCAAAGGGAGTTTTCTCCTGTTTGGCACTGTTTCTTGTTATGTAGTCTTCAGGTGTGCACATTCACTCATGCTCGGATACTGTGTGTGTATTTTTCAGTAGATTTTTGAGTTAATACATTTCCTTCTGGTTTTTACTCTACCTAAACTTTATCTCTCTTCTCTCTCTCCTTGTCTAACCTTCTTCCTCCCTCCCCAGTTAAAAGTACCACCATTTTTCCCTTGATAATACCTGTCTCCTATTATCCCCCATCTCCTGAGTTCCTTCTTCCCCTTTACCTGCCCTCCCCCCTTCCATGGTTTCTTATACGTCTGTCTTTCCTCCCTTCCCAGTTGAGTACCCCCATTTTCTCTATTTCCCACCTGGTAACATCTGTTAACTACTGTCCCCCTTGTCTCGGGCTCTATATTTCCCTTTACCTTGGTGGTTCCTTTCCATTTTCCTTGTTCCTGCGCTTAAATCAGAATATATACTCGCATATAAGGATTTGGTGCTAAGATCCACAAATTAAGGATAACATAAGATTTGGTGCTAAGATCCAGAATTAAAGATAACATATTTTGTTTGTTTTTCCGAGTTTGTGTTACTTCACTTAGTATAACAGTTTCTAGTTCCATCCATTTACCTGCGAATTTCATGATTTCATCTTTCTTACTGCTGATTAGAACTCCGTTGTTTAAAAGTGCCACATTTTCATTATCCATTCATCAGTTGAGAGACATTTAGGTTGTATCCATTTCTTAGGTATTGTGAAAAGAACAGCAGCAAACATGGATGTACAAGTGTCTCTGCAGTAGGATGAGTCCTTAGGCTATATGGCAAGGAGTGGTATAACTGAATCTAGATGCATTTTTAGTTTTTTTAGTTTTTTTTTTTTTTTTTGTCTTTTTTGAGACAGGGTCTCCCTATAGCCCCAGCTGGCTACTCACTATGTAGACCAGGCTGACCTTGAATGCACAGAGATCCACCTACCTCTGCCTCCTGAGTGCTGGGATTAAAGGTGTGTGCCACCATGCTCATTTCTAGTTTTTAAAGAGTTCTCTACACTGCTTTTCCAGGTGTTGCAAGAGTTTACATTCCCACCAGCAGTGAGTGAGCGTTCCTTTTTCTCCAGCCCTGCCAGCATTTGTTGTCTTTTGTTCTCTTGATCTTAGCCACTCAGACTGGGGTAAAATGAAATCTTAAAGTGGTTTTTATTTGCATTTCCCTAATTACTAAGGATGTTGAGCACTTTTTCAGGTGTTTCTTAGCTATTTTTATTTGTTTGAGAACTCTTTGTTCAGGCCTTTAGCCCATCTTTTTATTGGGTCATTTATTTTCTTGTTTCTTTGTGTTTTAAGTTCTTCGTATAAAATGGATAATAATTCTCTGTCAGATGTGTAGCTGGTAAAAATTTTCTTCCATTCAGTGGGTTTCCTCTTCCCTTCCTTGGTTGTTTCTTTTACTGTTTTTCAGATGCTTTTTCATTTAATGAGGTCCTACTTGTTGATTGTTGACCTTAATATGTAAGCAACTGATGTCCGATTTAGAAAGTCCTTTCTTACACCTGTATCTTGTAGAGTATCGCTTATGTTTTCTTCTAACAGTTTCAGAGTTCAGGATTCATATTGAGGTCTTTAATGTTCTTAAAAATGATTTGACATGACATCTGAAACTTAGTTAAAAGAAACGCAACTAAAATTCATTTGTTATAACTTAAAATTTTCTCTGACAGGGAAGGAATTATTTTATCATTTTGATAAATGACTTTTTGTTTTTAAGCCCAGGCCATTCAGCCCACCTGTAACTTCTAACACCAGTCCACCTCCTACTGCTCCCCTAGCCCGGGCAGAAAGTTCTTCTTCTATCTCTTCATCTGCTTCATTGAGTGCTGCCAATACTCCAACAGTAGGTGAGTATTGTTGATTATGAAATTGAGCACACATTGCATGATCAGGCTTACATTTATAAATATGTATATAAAAATATGCATGTGTGCACACACACTTTTTAAAGAGGGCTAGTGAAGAAATTAACAGTAAAATTTTTGTTTTTCTGGAGACACACCTGACACTGTCAAACTGGCCACATTTCCTTTTCTATTTCAGTCCTTATTACCTAAAATAAGGATTTTAACCATTGCTAAAACTATTAAGAATAAGTCAAATTTATAAACTGCTGGTCAAATTTGTTGAGGGTAAGAGCTGACAGTTGTATTCTTTTTAAAAATATTTTATTCATTATTACTATTATTGTTATTATTATTATTTGATCTTTTTGAGACAGGGTCTCCCTGTAGCCCCAGCTGTCCTGGAACTCACTATGTAGACCAGGCTGGCCTTGAATTCACAGAGATCCACCTGCCTCTGCCTCCCGAGTGCTGGGATTAAAGGCGTGTGCCACCACGCCTGGCTTATTTATTATTTTAATTTTATGTGTATGTGTGTATTCCCTGCATGTAGGTAAGTGCACCTGTGTCATGCAATGCCCATAGAAGACAGAAGAGGCTGTTGGATCCCCTGGAACTGGAGTTACGGACAGTTGTTAGCTGCCATGTGGGTGCTGGGATTCGAACCCGAGTCTTCTGCAAGACCAGTCAGTGTTTTTAACCACTGAGCCATCTCTCCAGCCCCCTGCAGTTGTATTCTTAAGAAACTTTGTGTTTTTGTAACCATTCTATCTTGAAACCATTCATTCAAGGAAGGAAAGGTTATGTACTTGGCAATGAATTGTTTGTTTCCATAGGAATTTAATCACAAATAATAAAAATAGTTGTTAAGAGTAAAGCTATATAAAACCTAAACCTTAACAAACAAATCCAGTCTTTTACTACATCTAATATTTTTACTTAAGAATTTTTTAATGTCATTTTTATTCAATACTTAGAAATTCTCATTGCTTTTCTTATTCATTGTTATTGTAATAAACAACACAAAGCCACTTAAGTGCATCAACTGTTTAGGTGAAATAGCATTTCATCACAATTATAACTGCCCCTTTTGCTGCTGCTGGTCTTTGGTACTGCAAGCTTCAGCATCACCTAGACACTTAATTGAAATGTAGACTTCAAAAGTCAGATTCTTGAGAAGTAAGGGACCAAGGTTTTATGGACTTTTCAGGTACTTGGAATGAATGCTGTTTGTAATAATAACCCTAATTAAGCTGATTTAATCATATCCAATTCAGTTTGTCAAGCTCACATGTGAGAACTACATCTTTTCTGTATGACCATTGTAAAAATAGAGTAAGTAGAATGGGTTAGGATTTCTAAATGTCCAAATGTGATACCACCATTTTTGTTTGTTTGTTGTTTTGAGACAGGGTCTCTCTGTAGCTCCAGCTGGCCTGGGACTCACTATGTAGACCAGGCTGGCTTCCAGGTCTGCCTGCCTCTGCCTCCCTAGAGCTGGGACTAAAGGTGTACACTACCACACCCACCTCCACCATCTTATTTTTTATACCTTCATACATAGCATTTTCTCATTTCCAGCTTTGTGTAATGGAGTATAATGAATAAATTTACCTCTTTATTTTAATGAACATTATTATTTTTGTTTGTGTGTATAGTTTTCTTAATTTTATTTCTACAGAACTATATGTTAGTCATAAGAAGATAGATTGGCCCTACTAGAAATCTGACAGGTAGCCTGAGTAATCAAAGCAAGCTTTAGTTTCTAAATTGCTTATTGAGGATATCCATCCTTTTGACATCAAGACATGATGTTGTGGTCTACAAATGTGTCAGGCTACATCCATAAGTATCCTGGGATCCATGTGGCCCATCAGATGGGCCTGGTTCAGAAGGTTTTCTATTTGTTGTGGAAATTTTAAGTTGATTTTAATTGATCTGATAAGTATTTGTTTATTATTCCAGCTAGTGTTGGCTATAAGAGAATCAACAATAGGTGGCAGAGATGATGCAGGCAAGGCAGATGGGTATGAATTTAGAGTCTTTGATTTATCCAAAAAGTTGCTTTCCTTTGTTACAATTTTTCAACTCTGTTTAGATTTGAAGTTGTCTTGTTTCTTGAAACTATTTTCTTTTCCTGCAATATTTTATTTTACTTAAATATGATAGAAGATGATAATTTGATTGGGACACTCTCTGAAATTGAAAAGCACTGTGAGACAACACCAGGTATTGTATCAGAAGCAAATGTATGTGTAAACTAATGGTCGTAAAGCGTTTCTAAAATACTGTCCTTATTTTTTCTTTCTCTAGCAGTGTATGGTGTCTCAGCACTCCAGAGTAACATTAAGATTAACTATTTCAATTTTATGCTAATTATGTCCTGTTACTATATAAGATCAGATCTTCCTTTCTAAAAACACATAGTTTTTGCATTTTCTTCCATCTCTCTGCCTTAAACTTTAAGAATCAATAAATCTGAACTCCAAAGCTATCAGAGTAAGAATACTGAAAAAGAAACAGAAAGAATATGCTAGTTTAAAAAGTTATAATACCTAAACTATGAGAGCAGTTTATCATACAAAAACCACATGGATAGTGAGCTGAAATCAGAAGCACAGAAGTAGGAGGAATGAGTGATCCTGGGGACTTCCTCCAGTGCTGAAAGGAATTCCATTTAAATACCCTCTATTAAAGGAGGATGCTCTATATCCTCTGTTTACCTCAGATATGTAAGCTCTCTGTATCTTCAAGTCATATGGCTATCTAAATATGTAGCATATAATAGTTAAACCAGAATTGGAAATGAAAATGTCCTTAAGAGTACAGGTTGATTGCTGGTTGTGGTGGCGCATACCTTTAATCCTGACACTTTAACTTGGGAGGCAGAGGCAGGCAGATCTTCAAGGCCAGCCTGATCACATAGTGAGTTCCAGGCCAGCTGAGCCAACAGGGAGACCCTGTCACAAAAAAAAAAAAAAAGAGTACAGGTTGAGCCAGGTGTGGTGGTGCATTCCTTTAGTCCCAGTACTCAGGAGGCAGAGGCAAGCAGATCTCTGTGAGTTTGAGGACAGTTTAATTTTTCAAGTGGCCAGAAGCATCATTTCTTATATCTGTGAATCTTTCATCACCAAGCTATTTTTCTAACCACCTAAATCAGAACTTCCTCAAAATCTGGAATGGTCAACCTCCCTGGCCTCTGAAGTTTATGAAATATTTTTTCTCACTATTTGCAGGTTCAGATTTGTTGCCAGGCATCATATATTCTGTATTAAAAGAATGCTCAGCTTTGGAAAATCATAGCAGTAATGTTAAAGAATACATGGGAAGGGTACATCTGTGAGGAAAAACAAAGGTAGTATGCTATTTCAGGGGTATGAGAAATAGTTTGTTTAGATTAAGAAACAAAAACTTAGCTAGGCCACATGGTGTATGCACTCCAAGGCAGAAGCAAGCAGATCTCCCTGATTTCCTGGCCAGCCAGGGCTACATAGTAAGTCTCTGCCTCAACAAAACAAAACAAAACAGAAACACCACACCAAAAACCTAAACACATGCATAAATGTTATTATTTAATGTGAATTCCTTCCCCCTGCTCAGTGTTGAATGCTTTGGTCACATACTGGTGCCACCAGTTTAGGAGTATTTGAATGTTTAATATGAGACTTACAGAAAATTAGTCTTAGACAGAGGAATGTCCTAGCCTCCAAAGGCTATACCTGGTCCCCTGTCCTTTCCTCTCTCTTTGCTTCCATCCTCCCCACCAAACACTCTTGAGACCATGATACTCCACTGAAGCAAATGGTGCCTACTGAGAATGGAATGAGGCCTCTGAAACCATGAGCCAAAATAATTCTAAGTTGTTTGTGTCAGGTGTTTTGCCACAGTAACCATGAAACTAACATTTAAATAAAATTCATAAATTTGTTCAGAGTTTTATTATGCTTTAAAAATCCTGATGTTTATATGATCTGTGATCTGATTCTAAAGGTATTTTGTCTAAGTGAACTTTAAGTCAGGTTTTAAAAAATATTTTATTATTTTTATTTTATGTGTATGAGTGCATTGCCTGTATGTGGGTACGTACATCAATGTCATACAATGTCCCACAGAGGTCAGGAGAGGGTGTTGAATCCTCTGGAACTGGAGTTATGAATGGTTGTTAGCCACCATGTATGTGCTAAGAATTGAACCCAGGTCCTCTTTCAGAGCAACCAGTGCTATTAACCACTGAGCCATCTCTCCAGCCCCTAAGTCAGAGTTTTTAAAGTAATGTTAGTCAAACATTTATTCAGTCAAAGTAATATGGGAATACAATACAGACTGAGCTATAAACATTCAAAATCTGAAATCCAAAACTTTTTAGGTGGTGATAACTCTCAAAATTTGACTCTCAGGCATTTTATTTAGGGTTTTTAGATTAAGGATGCTTATGGGTAAAGATTATGCAATTATTCCAAAATTCTGAAACATATCTTGTCCCTAGTATTTCAAATAAGGGATACTCAGTCTATATAAGCATCATAGAGGAACTTAAAGAGAATTATAATATAATCAGATAGTATATGAAGCATAGTTATTTGGAGAAACATATACAAAAATTCTGTCTAAAGCCTGAAGTGATTGATAAAACTTAAAGATTTTGGTATTTGAAGGTTTTGGAGGACACAATAGTAATTTTAGCTCTTTGAGTCAATGACCTTTTCCTTCTGATATTCCTTAACTATCTTGAGTCTTTGCATTTAAGCCATTTTGATCACCTTCCAGATTTTTTTGTGTGATTTGTATTATGTTTTTAACCTCTAGGTTTATATTTGAGGCTTCACTGAAACCAGTAACAGAGTCATTTCTTACAACTTAACATTACGGATCTGTTTTGCTATTTATGGTATAAATCTATGTTAGTATTTAATATATGTCTTTTTGAAGGATTTAACAAATGAATTATATGTATTCTAGGTGTCTCACGGGGTCCCAGCCCTGTCAGCCTTGGAAATCAGGACACCTTACCTGTGGCGATTGCCCTTACAGAATCTGTTAATGCCTACTTTAAAGGAGCAGATCCCACCAAGTTAGTTTTAACTCTATCACCTCTCTCTGTCTGCCTGCCTGTGTTCATGTGAATGTGAGCCAGGAAGAGGGACTTGAGAGTAAATTCCAAGTTATACTTTGCATATTTGTAGATTAGGGGTTTCTTTTAAATATTTATCTGCCTTTTACTATCTAATTTAACTATTCAAGGGTTCCTCTTAAAACAGATACTATAATTAGCAGTAAGTGGTGACTTTCCTCCAGTTTATTTATACTGTTGCCCAATCTGTTTGGCCAGTATGACTCATCTGATGGTATATTTTGGGTAAAAGGGTGGTATTTTCTTTTTTTAAATTATATTTATTTTATTTTATGTGTATGAGTGTATTGCCTGCATATAGGTAAGTGCACCCATGTTGCACAATGCCGGTGAGGACAGAAGAGGCTGTCGGATTCCCTGGAACTGGAGTTACAGACAGTTGTTAGCTGCCATGTGGGTGCTGGGATTTGAACCTGAGTCTTCTGCAAGAACAACCAGTGTTCTTGATCACTGAATCATCTCTCCAGCCCCGTAGGGTGGTATTTTCTAAAGAGATGTAGACTGAATATTTGAATTCTTACAGAATTGGTTTAGCATCTTGCTTTTGAGAAAGTTATATCTGCTTGAATGACCATTTCTGTTTTCTTTTTTGAAAGAGTTTATTTTTATTTTATGTGTATGTGGTGGGCCTGAATGTGTGTATGTGCCTGGTGCCTATGGAGGCCAGAAGAGGGCATCAGATCCTCTGGAACTGCAATTACAAGTGGTTGGGAGCTGCTCTGTGGGTGCTGGGAACCAAACCTGGGTCCTCTACAAGAGCAGCAAGTGCTCTTAACTACTGAGCCATCTTTTCAGCTCCCTTTCCTGTTTTCTTGAAATACTACTCAACATACATTCATTCACAAAATATTTGAGCACTTACTCTATGTAAGACTCTGATGAGTGCTAAGGCTATTTCAAAACAAAACAAAGGTCTCTCTTGAACCTGCATTATAGTAAGGAAAGCATCAAAGAAACAGGTTGTGTATTGATACCTGTTATGAAGAAAAATAAACCAGGGTAAGAAGGTAAGAAATAACAGTAGATAGCTTCTGTATTATTTGGAATGGACAAGGGAAAACCTTTTGGAAATTAATTAAGCAGATATTTGAAAAATTTGGCAGAGCAAGCTGTTGTACATATCTGGATTCAAGGATGAGGGCACCAGTGAGTGGAAGAATGTGGGGTAAAACCATGCTTGGCCTGTTAAGGAAGCAGTGAGGTGAACCATGTCACTGAGTAGGAGAAAAAAAGAGAATGGTTGAGGATGCATTCAGAGATGTCCCAGATGAGGCTAAGCATTACAGGCCCTAATAAGGAGTTTAGAATTCATTTTGAATGAGGCAAGAAGATGAGTGGAGGCTTTGAGCCTGAAGGGTGATGTCATTTGTGTTCTTGTAGTATTTTGCTGGTCTTTGGAGAATAAACTAAAGAGAGCCAGAGTAGGTGAAGAGAGAAAGGATTAACTGCAGAGATCCTGATAAGAGATGATGGCTTTAATAAGTGTATTAGCAGAAGAGGTGATGAACAGTGATGATAGTCTGAATGTTTGAAAACAGTTGTGGAGCTGGGCGTGGTGACATACGTCTTTAATCCCAGCACTCGGGAGGCAGAGGCAGGCACATCTCTGTGAGTTCAAGGCCAGCTGGTGATACAGGGAGACCCTGTCTCAAAAAGACGAAAAAAAAAAAGAAAAAGAAAACAGTTGTCATGGTTTACTGAGAGAATAGAATACCAAGTTTGAAGTACTTGTTAAGTGTTATTAGTGTATCCAGTTGAGAGTTGGGTGTATGATTCTGATGTTCATTGAGTAAGTATAGAATTGTGATGAAATATTTGGTGGCCTTAGTTTTGACGCAATGTATAAAGTCAGAGGCCTTAAATAGTAAACGGAAAAGAGATCAGAGAATTGAGTCCTGGTCCCTTGCAGCGTTGAAAACCAGAAGACAAGAATGACCAAGCAAAGGAATTTGATCTAGCAAGCAACAAGAGGATGGAGGCGAGAACCAACTGAGCAGTGTTCAGAGACTAGAGTCATTTTATTAAGGAAGGTATGAAGATACCTGATGTTGCCAACAGGCCAAGAAAGATTGGCCATTGGCAATATGAAGGTCACTAATGACCTTCAAAAGTACAGTTTTAGTGGCAGGTGAAGGTACAAGCCTGCTTGGAATGCAGGAGCAGGAAATTATGCAGATTTAGGGAACTTTCTGAAAAGAACAAATGTAGATAATTCTTTGGGATATTTTGCTCAATGGAAGTAGAAAAATGGAATAGTAGCAGGAATAAGAGGAGAATTTTCAAATCCCTATAGCTACTGTCCAGTATGCAGTTGTATCATCTGTGAAATGAAGATAAGACTTTTTTAATTTCCCAAAGTTGATGTTCTAATCTTTCCTGGTATAAGGCATTATGAACAGTGGACACCTTTTTCAGTTTCTTTAAATGACATTATAGGCTGGGTGTGGTAGCTCACGCCTTTAATCCCAGCACTTGGGAGGCAGAAGCAGGTGGATATCTGTGAGTTCCAGGACAGCCTGGTCTTCATAGTGAGTTCCAGGACAGCTGGGGCTACAGGGAGACCCTGTCTCAAGAAGACCAAAAACAAAAACAAAAACAAAAACAAAAACAATTAAAAAGCCATTATAGTATTGAATGATGAATGTTTGACTTCATCAAATATATAATCTTAAATAATATTTTAATGTATTTAATAACTTGTTAAGAGCTGTCATACCATTCTAGCATTTTTAGGTTTTCAGGTTACAACTTACAACATTGCATTTATATCAAAGTAATTTAATGATAAATAAATGGGTCACAGAAAAGAAAATAGCCTCAAAACAAATATTCCCATCACTCTTATTTTAGGCAGGGTTTCTCATTAGTGCCAGTGCTCAGTGCTGGATTTGGCTCAGTCACATGTACATATACATACACATACTCATATACATATATAACACTGGTTTGGCATGAAGTGCTAAAATATTCATTATTAGATTAAAGAGAAAGTATGGATAAAATTAATGGAAACATTGATGGAAGAGACAGAATTTATTAAAGTTTGATTCAAAAACCTTAGAGCATAAAAAAAAGAATTTTCTTTTAGCTCTAAGTGTTTATTAAAAGTGACAGAGTTGGCCACACTTGTAATCCCAGCACTTGGGAGGTGTAAGCAAGAGGATCAAGAGTTCAAGGTCATCCTCAGTTTGTGAATTCAAGACCATCCTTGGCTACATGAGATCCTGTCTCCAGAAACTAAAAATTTTTTAAAAATGTGAAGATTTTAGGGACTGGCAAGATGACTTAGTTGATGAAATGCCTGCCACACAGACATGAAGCTCTGAATTCAGATCTCCAGCATTCACATAAAATGGGTGTGGAAGTTGGGAGGGGTTGGGGATGAATCTGGGAGGAGTTAGAGTGAGGCATGGAATATAAGTGTGAATACAATAAAAAATGCATTGTATACATGCATGAAATTCTAAAAACAAAAACATTCTTTAAAAATTCGTATGTGGCAGCACGCCTCAGTGCTGAAGATGCAGAGATAAGCGGATCTTTGTAGCTCATTGGTCAGCCATTCTAGCCAAATTGAGAAGTTCCAGGTTCAGTGAGAGACTTTGTCTCAAAATAAGATGGAGAGAAATCAAGGAGGACATCTGATATCAGCCTCTGACCTACTCTCTCTCTCTCTCTCTCTCTCTCTCTCTCTCTCTCTCTCTCTCGCATTTATATGTGAAAGACTCATTATTTGTGGGGAAAACACAAAACAACAGATCTGCAGAAAAGAGAATAGATCATAATGCCTTAATGAACTTTTCGTATAGAATCACTGGCACTGCTGCAGCCGAAGAAATGACTCTTCTAGGAAGAGTTCTTTGAAACAGGAAGAAAGGTTTACGATATAGATACAGTTAGGCAAATTAGAAATTTGTAGTGAGAATGTGAGAAAGTTCTTTTCTGATTCTATTACCTCATTAAAATTAATGAAAAATAAAAGTGAAGTCATCACCTAAGAGTAAGAGAGTGTCTAATGAGGGACCTGGAATGCCAAAGATGGGGGATATGACATTTGGGTGAAAAATATTATAAGAGTAGTGAATTGTGAAGATTTTGGTTATGGTTGTGGTACTAGACTGAATGAGTTAGAAAAATGGGAATTTGGTGTGAGAAGTGTGAAACAGATCCTGGAGGGACTGTAGCATGGCTGAGGTAGACTGAAAGACTGCCCCTGGAGATTTGGGGTTGAAGAGCTAGGAACCATGATGTTGAAAAGATCGTCTGGATAGGTATTGAAATTGCTAAAGATTATGCTAGAATTAGTGGTTCAGAGATAGAATCTAGCAGTGAGCTGAGAACTCAGGTTTTTAGGAAATAAAAAAGTAATGCTGAAGATGTTCTGAAGGAGATGGAGTTTGAGTAATATAATCTGATGCATGAGTTTGAAAGAAGAAACAGGGTAGGAAGAAGCAGAGAGCAAGATGGACAGTTACCACCAGGCTTTGCAGGGCTTAGATATGGGGATAATACACCTGATGGTGTTACTATGGAAGCACTGCCATACAGGTTATCTGAAGATGGTTACCACACACAAAGAGGTGTACTTACTTTATATTAGGAGTATACCATTTGATGTAGAATAGTTTTTTTATGATTACATTAAAGTAGTTCATCTAAAAATATGTTGAAGGAGATACATGTGTATGCAGGCACATATGCGTATCTACATACACACACACATATGCATGCACAGACATATGTATGTCCTTTTAAACCAAATATATTTTTGAGTGGAAATTAAAGCATCTTATTTAAGCACTTGTCAAAATCCCCCAATTTTAGGTGTATCGTGAAGATCACTGGAGACATGACAATATCATTTCCAAGTGGAATTATTAAAGTCTTCATGAGCAATCCCTCTCCAGCTGTGCTATGCTTTAGGGTGAAAAATATCAGCAAACTTGAGCAAATTCTTCCAAATGCACAACTTGTGTTCAGGTTTGTATACTTTTTTTATATATTTTATTATTTTTAGTTATGTGTATGTGTGTATTGCCTGCATGTAGGTAAATGCAGCCATGTCGTGCAGTGCCTGTGGAGGTCAGAAGAGGCTGTCAGATCCCCTGGAACTGGAGTTACAGTTGTTAGCTGTCATTTGGGTGCTGGGATTCGAACCCGAGTCTTCTTCAAGAACACTCAGTGTTCTTAACTGCTGAGCCATCTCTCTAGCCCCTGTATACTTTATTTTTAAAATTGAAGTTTCTTTTTTAAAAACTGTTTTGTTTTTTGAAATAATATTCAATTTGAAGGCAATACCCAAATTATTATTAAATAGCTTTCTGCTGTCCTTTAGTTTTTGGTGTTAGTACTAGTTATATTTCAAGCAAACTTTTGCTGGGTTCTATTCTTCATCTTCTAATCTTGGTTTTCCTTCAGCTCACATTTTAGTTCCTTTCTGCTAGTCTTTCCCAGATCACCAACTGCATATAGGCAAAGAAAAAAAGTCAAATAAAATAACAAAAATATTTCTTACAGTGATCCATCACAATGTGATTCTAACACAAAAGATTTTTGGATGAACATGCAAGCTGTTACTGTCTACCTCAAGAAGCTATCAGAGCAAAATCCAGCTGCTTCTTATTATAATGTAGATGTATTAAAGTATCAGGTGAGTACCATGTCACTGTAAAAATCGTAGATCCAAATACAAACAAATGGAATCTGGCATAACACTAAGTGAATGAATATGTTATAGCCAAATGAGGTTCATTCCAGTAGTGCAAGATTGTTTAAAAATTAGAAAATCCATTAGTAAGTTAATGGCTATGTCAACCAATTTGATAAAATGTTTACCATCTGTGTGTGGCTAAAATACTGATTAAAGGGGTTGGAGAGATGACTCAGCAGTTAAGAGCACTGGCTGCTCTTCCAGAGGACCTTGGTTCAATTCTCAGCAGCTCAGAACTATGTGTAACTTCAGTTCCAGGGGATGTGATAGCCTCTTCTGGCCTCTGCAGGCATTTCACACATGTGGTACACTTATATGCAGGCAAAACACTCATACACTCCTTGTTCCTATTAATACTAGCAGAATTTAAGTTTTTGTCTGGATTTGTTAGTCAACACAATTAGATAAGAGAATAAAATAAGTAATAAGTATTGGAAAAGAGGAACCAAAATTATTATTCACCGGTATATTCCTGGAAAACTCAAGAGAATCAATTGAAAAACTATTGTGATGTAGGGGACTTGGTGGGATAGCCTATTTTAAAATCAATATGAATAACTAGAAATAAAGTTAAGAACTTTAGAAAAATAAGAAATATATTCACAAGAAAAAAACAGGAAGAGATATAGCTCAGTCTTCATTGACTTGCATGTATTTAGAAAGCTGTATTTTATTCTTTAAGATTGATACTGTAAACTGTGTATATGTCTCTAAATTAACCTATAAAGTTAATGTATCCTGATCAGAAATCCCATAAGAGTTATGTTTATGTCTGTGTGTATGTTCAGAGATTTGATAATCACATTGATATTCTTTAGAAAAACAAACTTTGGAAGAATAAGTAAAGAAATGTTTTCAGTAGTAAAATGAAGTAATGTTTTTACTTTAATGGGAAATGTATTATGACAGTATTTAAAATAGTTCAGAAGGTAAGAGATGGCCAGATGAGAACAGATTAAAATATTCAGAAATATATCTAAACACACACGGAAAGCAGTTTATGTGGTAAAGTACCATTTCAAAGAGATATTTTTCAATAAGTGGTATGGGAATAGTAAGATATATAGGGGAAAAAATTAATATGAAGCTGGGACTGGAGAGAGGTTCATTTGTTAAAAGTACTTAAAGAGGACCAGGGTTCAGTTCCCAGCTTCCACATGGTGGTTCACAAACCATCTGTTACTCCAGTTCCAGGGAATCTGATGCCCACTTCTGGTCTCTGCAGGCTGCTGCACACATCTAGTGCACATAAACTCACTCAGGCATACACATTCACATAAAATAATAATGAATAAATCATAAAATTAATCTGAAGCCTTAACTTAAAATAAATTAATATGTATCAAAGGCTTAATAATAATAAATAAAACTACAAAGGGACTAAAATAAATTATAAGTGAATTTATCTCTATGTCTACATACTATATACTAGTTTTAATATCAAAGTATGAAAACTTGGTAAGTGTGATTTAGAACCCACAAGAGGGGCTGGTGAGATGGCTCAGTGAGTAAAAGCACTTACCATGGAAGCCTCACAACCTGCTTTTGATACTGACAACCTTTGTTCAATCCCTGGAACCCACATAAAGGTAGAAGGAGAGAACTGTCTCCACAGAGTTGTCCTCTGACTGCATACGAGCATGCATGTACACAGTACACACACATACAATAATAAAAAGTTAAGACTCAGAAGGTATGTAAGAGATAATTGAAAACAAAAATAAGTATGTATGTATATGCTTTAGGGGCTGGAGAGATGGCTCAGAGGTTAAGAGCACTTGCTGCTCTTCCAGAAGTCCTAAGTTTGGTTCCCAGCACTCACTTAGCAGCTTATAACCCTTCTTAACTCCAGTTCCAGGAGATCCAGTGCCTTCTTCTGGCCTCTGCAGGCACTAAGCTTGCAAATACACATGTAGACAACACACTCTTACACATAAAAATAAAGTTAAAATATTTGCTTTAAAAAACCATTAAACAGAATCAGTACATATGTGTGTGTATATATATATATATATATATATATATATATTAAGACATAAGGCTCTGAAGCCCCAACTGGCCTTGAACTTGCTATGCAGACCAGGCTGGCTTTGGTCTCACAGAGATCAATCATCTGCCCCTGCCTCCTGAGTGCTGGGATTAAAAGTGTACTCTACCACACCCGGCTGGAATCAGTATTCTTAAAGACAAGTATTTCCAACTCTAAGACTAAAGAGATTACCCCAAGAGCCTTTATAAATTAGTAAGAAAAAGGTGAATAATTCAGTAGGTAGCTAATGGAAGCATGTTCTCTGTCACTAGTATTCAGAACAGTGAATATTAAAGTAGTAAGTACCTGAAGACAGGGCTATCTAGTGTTAAAAAAAGGTGCCACCATTTGGTAATAGGAACACAAGTCAGTAGAGCCTCTTAAAGGAAATTGTAGTAAATTGATTGATAGATAAAATTCTCCTAGAAATCTATTATCCAGAGATCACATAGCAGGCAAAGAAAAGGTACAAAATACATCCAATGATGCAGCATTGTTTGTAGACCACCCAAGTATATATCAGCAGAGGAATAAATTGATTCAGTGTGTTATCAGAGTCATTAAAAAGAATGAGATAGATCCATGTGTTTCGTGTTCATAAAACATGTGGAAGTATATGTAGCATGATAACAGTGGGGTGTAAAAATACCAAGGGATAGTGGAGAGGGGGAGCTTAGTGGTAGAAGAGCACTTACACTGCATATATAAAGCCTTGAGTTTGATCCCTAGCAACACACACAAATGCCAGAGATCAATTTTCTATTTTATACGCTTTGATGTCATTTATTTATTTGTTTGTTTACTTATTTATTTATTGGTCTTTTTTTTTTTTTTTTTTTTGAGAGAGGGTCTCCTTGTAGCCCCAGCTGTCCTGGAACTCACTGTGTAGACCAGGCTGGCCTGGTCTTTGAATTCAAAGAGATCCTCCTGCCTCTACCTCCCAAGTGCTGGGATTAAAAGCGTGCGCCACCACGCCTGGCGGTCATTTAAATTTTTAATAGTGTAATCATATTAAAATTACTTGTGTTTCTAGGAAACACATTTGTAATCAATGATTGCTAATTGCTGGGAATAGGATAAGGAGACAGTAAACATGTAAATAATATTGTATGGGTCTCTCTGAAGCCCCAGCTGTCCTGGAACTCACTCTATAGACCAGGCTGGCCTTGAACTCACAGAAATCCACCTGCCTCTGCCTCCTGAGTGTGCCACCACATCAGCTATAATAGTGTATATTAGAAAATAGATAGTATGGACAAAAAGAAATGGCTTCAAAAGGAATTGAGAAATGAGCTGGATAGTTGGGCAGGATTATGCCATTCACTATGGTTGAATCTATTAAATATTTGAAGTTGGATGTATTCTAAATCTAGGTTTGGTGGGGGGAACCACATGGTGATCTATATCAGTGATATAGATCTAAATTCTTTATAATTTCAAGTATAATTCATAAAGAATCTTAGAATCTTGTGTTGAATGTTGAAAGGTTTTCAAACTACAAATAATAACCACCACTTATTAGAGTGCCGAATTCCAGACAGTGCCCTGAACATTTTTTCCATTTAGTTCTGGGAAACACGCACTGTAAACAAGCACCATGATACTTTACATATAGGTAGTCCCAAGCCTATACTCTTTAAAAAAATTTTATTTTAATTTTATGTGTATGAGTGTTTTGCCTGCGTGTATATAAATACACCCATGCATGCAAGGCCTGTGGAGGCCAGAAGAGAAAGTGTTGGATCCCCTGGAACTGGAGTTACAAATGATTGTTAGCCACCATATGGGTGCAAGAGTATCCATTGCTCTTAGAGCCATCTCTCTAGCCCCCCAGGTCCATACTCTTGAGAGATTCTTACTCCTTTGAACTAAGTGCTTTACTCTGCCTAGCAACAAGCAGTCTCCTTTTTGCTTAGTTAATGGTTCTGCAAATTCTTATGCTTAGGTGTCTGTGTCATGACCGTGCCTTATTTACTCTTCAGGCAGACAATTGTTTGTTTGTTTTTTAAAGGTATCGTCAAATGGCATTCAGTCCACTCCTCTGAATCTTGCAACATACTGGAAATGTAGTGCCAGCACCACAGATCTGAGAGTGGATTATAAGTATAACCCAGAAGCTATGGTGGCACCTAGTGTACTTTCTAGCATACAGGTGGTCGTACCAGTGGATGGAGGAGTCACAAACATGCAGTCCCTTCCCCCTGCAATATGGTAAACAATTTCTGACTTCCATCTCCATTTCTGTGTGTCTAATTGCAACAGTTCTAACCTCAAAATAATAATTAGGCCAGCGAGATGGTGCAGTTAAGTGCTTGCAAAGCAAACCTGACCTGAATTCTATCCTGGAAACCCATGTAAATAAAGGAGACTCTCTGACACCCCTCCCCCATGGCCTGCATGAACTCATATACACACAATTTTTAAAAATGTATTATTTAATAGGATTAAATGTGGCCTTTAGCATATCTATAAGGAACACCTGGTATTTTAGCAGTACTGGTTCCTGACTACCTTTTGTACTCTTATTAATTAGTATAGACTCTAACAACTCTTTATAGTTATCATTAAGAATAATGTTTTCCTTAGCTAATTTAAGATACTGAGCTACATTTAGTTTTCCTTTCTCTGACCACTGGAAATGAGAGGAATTAGACAATGTATTAGATACTGTATTTAGACACTTAATTTGAAGATATTTGTTTTTACAGGAATGCAGAACAAATGAAAGCCTTTTGGAAATTATCTGGGATTTCAGAAAAATCAGAAAATGCGGGTAAGTATGCTTGCTTTTTCTGTTGGCAAAATGATGTCCTCCCCAAATGGATTCTTTTTCTCACTGTGTGCTGGAAATCAAATCCAAAACTTGCTAGGTACATGTTAGGCAAGCACTATGCCACTCTGCTACACTTGTAGACTTTGTTGTTGTTGTAATCTTCCTCCTCCTCTTATTATTATTATTATTATTATTATTATTATTTGTTTATTATGTGTATGAGTGTGTGCATATGTGGCAGTCACAGAACAATTTTCAGGAGCTATTTCTTTTAACCCTATGGGCCCAGGAGCTCAAATTTAGGTTGTTAGGCATGCATGTGGCATGAGCCTTTACCTGCTGAGCCATCTCAACAGGGAGCCTCCATGGTGGTTGTTATATTAGTTTTTTTTGTTTGAGACAGAGTCTGACTATGTAGCCCTAGCTTGACCTCGAACTCAGAGAGATCCTCTTGCCTCCTGAGTGCTGGGATGAAAGGTGTGCACCACCAGCCAGGGTCTTTTAAGGCAAGTTCATGGGAAGTTTTCTCCTGGAATTTCATGCCATCAGTTCTAGAACTGACCACTAGGTGGAAGTTAATACCTTGAATAAGAATGTACAAGCTGGGATTCAGAATAGTTTTCACCTTCTGTTTGAGTATGGTTTCTCTGTAAGAAAAATAACTTTTGCTGTAATTTTATAACTTATATAAATGCTGTTTGTATTAACTTTAAGAGAAAATACCTAGTAAAATAAAAAATTTTAAATATGCTATTAGGGCTGGAGAGATGGCTCAGTAGTTAAGAGCACTTGTTCCTCTTACAATGGACCTGGGTTTGGTTCCCAGCATCCACATGGCAGCTTACATCTATCCATAACTCCAGTCCCAGGGGCTCTGACATCCTCTTCTGGCCTCTGTGGACATTGCATATACATGATGTACTTTATATACATGTAGGCAAAACACTCATATACATAAATAAAAATTAAAAAAAGAAAAACAGACTTATCCCCAGGTAGGTAACCTGATAAATAATTGAAAATGATTTTTAGCATACTATTTAGTTTATTCTGTCAATGGGGTGTCCTCCCAAGTTAAATAGAAAGTGCCTTTAAAAAGTCTCCTTACCTTCTCCATCTTGCTAAGAGGACCTTTTCTCCTCATTTCTCCATTAGAATAAATAAGTTACCAACAGTCTTCAATTTTATAGTAAGAACTTTAGGGAGAAACAAGTTAATTATCTTCTCCCACTAACTGCATCCACCTGTGTTCACAGTATCTCAGCTAGTTGATCACTCCAAGTATCTCCCTTGACTCAAATTATATTCTTAAAATTAGTGTACAATTTCTAGGATAGTCAAGTCTCTAATATTAGATAATCACATTTTCTTAGTTAAAAGAGAACTTGACTGCCTAGTTAGCCTCCAATAAGTTTTCTTAATGAGTTGATTCTTTAGCTTTTCAAATTGTATTCAACCTTTTCATTTTGAATGTTAAGAGCATATTAGTGGTTTTTCCCCTATTGTTTTATATGAAGGACCATAAATAAATCTACACTGTCTGTTCATATACCTGCCATGCAGAATCAGACTTGTACTAAATAGCCACACTTGATATAACCAAGCCTACAGTTCCTTTTGCTGTTTGGTACTTTCAAAGGTTGCATTTTTAGGTAGTGGCTGTGCTGACTTTTCCCCAAGCCATGTGGCTTTTTGTGAACTACACTGGAATTCCTAGCTTAAACTGGAAATAAATCAGAAATCTTAACATGCCTTAAGGGCTTAAAAGCATCTAGCAAGGAAGAGAGGATACTTTACTCCCCTATTTAATGAAATACAGGATAATTCTAAGTAAACCAGAATAGGAATTTGTTCTCTGAAAAATAACCTGTTTTTCCAACCATATATTTTAATAATTTCTTTCTGCTATTCAGGTATGAAAGTGTCTATGTGAGGAAATGGAAAAAAATTTATAAATGTGGTTTTGATGTGGCTAGTCAAACCTTTTCAAAGAAAGACCAAGGTTTAAATACTGTAAAATAGAAATCTGTTTTCTATTCCAGCTCAGTGCCCCAAAAAGGGACAGGAAAGAATCCTAAAGTATAATGATGACCAGGGTGGCTGCTCTTGCTCATGGAAGAAGTTTCACAGAGCTGAATTGTTTATGAAGGGTATACAAATTTTAGGAATACTTGTGTAATAGTTAAAAGCTGAGCAGCAGTTCTTCTTCACTCTGATTTGCATCACCAGGCATGGTAGTATAGGATGGGCCAGTTACATTTTGTTCCACTTTTCTCTCTGTAGTGTTAAACCCATGTACAATTAGATTTAGGGTTTTCTTACTGTTATTCAGCAAGTCTGTCCTCTTCCCCTAACCAAAAACCTAGGTTACATTAGGTTAGAAAGCCTTCTGTATTTCTGTTTTCTCTCCTTTTGATTTGAACTCCTCTGTGTCTTTTTTTAAAATTTATAATTATTTTATGTGTATGAGCGTATTGCCTGCATGTATGTAAGTACATACATGTCATTAAGTGCCCACGGAAGTTAGAAGAGGGTGCCAGATTCCCCTGGAACTGGAATTACTGAGAGTTGTTAGCAGCCATATAGGTGCTGGGAATTGAACCCAGGTCCTCTGTAAGAACAGCTGGTGCTCTTAACAGCTGAGCCAACTCACCGTCCCTCCTCTCTTCTTTTCCTTTGCCTTGGCCCTAGTTCAGATCACCTTTTCCTGTCACCCAGAACCCCAATAACCTGTTCCATTGTCTAGCTGTTGGTCTCCTTCCTTTTTATCCCTCTCTTTTAGGACACTCATCTGAGATACTCTTGCCTTCCTTATCTTGGATGTTTCCTTGTGATTATGCCATAAACTTCTTATGGTCTAGCCCTTGCCACTACTATAGTCTCATCTGCTGCAGTCTTTAATTTCTGTCCTGTTCTCCAGCTATTCTGGTATAGATGCAGTTCTCTTTAAACATAGCCTGCTCTCACGGGACCCCTGTCTCCATACTAGTACCTACTTCTGCCTAAAATACACACCATCATCCCCACATTGTATCTTTCAGTAAAGATACATGCTTTTATATCTGCAGCTCCTGAGTGCTCATTTATGGCATTAATAGTCATATAACCATTGAGTTTCCTTCTGCTATGCTCTTAGACTGGAATATGTTGAATAAATGGTTGTATCAGAAAGAAAACACTTCTTAAATATTTAAGGGATGATGTTGTACAAGTAAAATTTGAAAAGTAAAAGTAAGTGGAAAATAGTAATGCTCCTGCTGGACATGGTGGCACATGCCTTTAATCCCAGCACTCAGGAGGCAGAGACAGGCAGATCCCTGAGTTCGAGGCCAGCCTGGTCTATATAGTGAGTTCCAGGCCAGCTGGGGCTACAGGGAGACCTTGTCTCAAAAAAAAAAAAAAAAAACCCAAAATAAAAAATAGTAATGCTCATACATCTCTTCTTAGCAGAAGCTGCCTTTTCTTCTTTACCTCTCTGCAGTGATCCTTGAGGGCTTCCCTCTGTGCTGCCCTCCATTACTTCTTCCCTGTGACTCATATTAACATGGTGTGTCATAAGAGTCTCAATAGTAAACAGCTCTGAAGATTACTGTTAAGTCAAAGAAAGGGTAGATTAAGATTACTTAGTGGAAATTCAGATTGAGTACAATCTGATTTTTAAAAAAGGACAATTTACTGTGCATAGCTCATGAATTTTAACATGGATGAGGTAGTTTAGCTTAGATACTCATTTGGTTTTACTTGGTGTGCAATGTATTTTACCTCATGTAGTTCTTTATTCTTTTCTCTGTAGGTTCTGGGTCTCTCAGAGCAAAATTTGATCTTTCAGAAGGACCCAGTAAACCCACAACACTTGCAGTACAATTTCTCAGCGAGGGAAATACTCTCTCAGGAGTGGATATTGAACTTGTTGGCACTGGCTATAGGCTTTCCTTAGTAAAGAAGCGGTTTGCCACTGGTAAGTTAGAATGTCTTGAATTTTATAATGTACATGGGAAACATTTGTATTCTGGCATTTTATAATTGAAAGGCATAGGGATTTTAGTTTCTTCTTTTTTTAAAACTCTTCCTACAAGAGCAGAGTTTGAGATAGGCTTGGTAGAGAGAGTTCCCATGGTTAGCATAACCAAATACCTATGAGATGATTCTAATGTATTATAAACAGCAGATAGGATCTAGGGTTCTGTGTCTGAAACCATAGAGAGAAATACCCTTTGAAATTACCTTGCGACTGTACTTGTAAAAGTCTGTTGTTTTTCAGGACGATACCTGGCGGATTGCTGATGGACCTGAGAAAGTGACTGGCTCCAGGGAATAGTCCAAACCTGCCATTCTGCATTGTCTGTTCTTTCCAAACACTATTCTAACTTGTATGACGTCTTTCAAACTTGATACCTGAGAGGGAGCTGACTACAAATATTAAGTTGCACTTTCAAAGTGAGTCATTGAAAGAATTAGCACTGAAATCATTTTCTACACAGTAAATGATCAAATGACAATATTCAGGAAACACATTTATTCAAATTGTCAGTAAAAAGGAAGTTTTTTTTTTATCTTCAACGTCTATGTTTTTGAAAGAGGTTAGAGTGTAGTAACAGGCCTAAAAATTCAGGAGAGCAAGCACAAAATAGTTTAGCTTTCCATAAGTTTTTAGAGTGAGAGGTAGTTTTGAAGTTTCATAAGTTTGATATTGAATAAATATAAACAATGTGAATTTTAAGTTTTGAATGTTAACTCAGAACTCAATCAAATTGAGTTATGTGCCATAAGGTAATCAGACCAGTGTCCAAGTTGTATGCAAAAAAATCTATAACCTGATTCTCATAAGCATATTAATAAAGTATAAATGGTGTTTTGTATGATTTTTAAAGAAATTCTCAAGTGCAATGTGTTTTAAAATAAGCTTACAAAAGACAGCAGAAGAATTTACTTCTGCAGTTAATTAACTTTATAGAAGTTGTGATTGTTTTGATGATAATGCTGTAGATTTAATTTATTTTTATATGGATTACATAATGTGTGCCTTTAAAAACAATAACAGAAAACAGAACTGTGCCTCTCTAGTTTGTGTTGATTAATGTGCCTCACTTTTTTTCTCACAGTCTGCATCTTCTATTCAAAATCTTAGAGTGGTCAATCATATTTACAAGACATTTGCAAATTTTAAAATACCTTTGATCTGCAATTGGGGAGGGAATTCAGAATAACTAAAGGATAATTTATACTTAAAGAATCCTGGCTCATTTTTTAGTGATACACTGTAGCCACTAGAAAAACAGATAACCTAATGGAGTATATTTACTGGGAAAAATTATCTTCAGATACACATTATTAACCTCATAAGTATGTGAAACAGGCAAATTCTGAAACTATGCTGATAAATTGGTAACTGGTATTTTAACTCTGAATTTAGCATTTCCCTTGACCCTATTTATCACTGAAAATTTTTACATTTATTTACTAATTGTGTTGTATGAATTTTTAGTATTTGATGAAGACTACAAAATAGGGAAAAGTTCTGTCGCTTATTTTCATTTCAACAATTGGAAAAGTTACCAGTTTATATGTTTTTATTCTTGGTTAATTGCCATATGGTAAAAATAGGTAAATTATTTGAGGTGATGGATTGGGTTAAGTGTTTCTTAAAGTGAACTACTCATGCTAAATAACTTTATAGCAAATTCTGATTAATTGAAGAAATAAAATGTCTTAGACAAAGTTTCATAACTTACAAATGGGAATTTATTTATAATGATAAATACCAGTGCCCTTCATTTTTCATAGAAGTGATAATAGCTTGTGTTATGTCTGATAATTTATATAAAACCACTAATTGTTCTATTAAGCTTTACAGAAAATAAAACCCCTATTACTAGACATGCAACATCTTGCTATACTAAATACAGCAGAAAATCTACTCTTCAGCAGTATATAATGCAGTTTGAGCATTTTAATATACTCAGTATTCTCCCAATTCTAAATTTAGATTTGACTTAAGCAAACATAAGACAGATTGCTGAAATCTTAATTTTTATTAAATAACAAAGTAGAATTTCTAATTTTATATTTTTTAAAAAGCCAGTTACAGTTACCCTTACTAAAATTTTAACTAAACCTGCTTTGCAGTCAGATTGCTCTTATTAGGCAGTTAATGTTTTACTATTTGAATTCTGACACTGTTATATACATGATGCTTATTTTCAATCAAGTATTACCTAAAATTGTTTAAATAAATGAAATGGTTAAACTTCTGCACTTTCTTAACTACACAGCCTTCATACCAAGTGTTGATATATAAGTTTGTATTGGGTATAGGTTACAGTTTTGAAGCCATATAATTTTTTATTGGTTTTTTTTTTCATTTAAAAATTCACTAATGTTGTAAAAAGAGACCAAGTAGATTTTCAGTGGGAAATGTATCTAGCAAGCTGGTTCTTGCTTATGTATAGTGATAAACTTTGTAGCTGCTTCTTTAACAGAATTCGTAAACACAGAACTCTAACAAATGTGAGTTTTTAAGGATTGTTATTTACTACTTTGGGTTATAATTAGAGCAATGCACATCTATCTTTCAAAATTTTGTAAATATTTTTGATTTTTTCATAAAATGTAAATTTTACATAAAAGTTGTACCCCTAATAAACATGTAATATATAATTTATCAGTTGATTTTATGTGTCTTTGTATCCTACTAATAAATACATAATAGGTATGTTGTAACTAGTAGGATGACCAAGCCAAGGAAGGAATGAGTAATTGATTTTGAACTTTTACTAGAATTTTTTTTTCCTTTTGTGGTATTGGGGGTATTGGGGGTATTGGGTATTGGGGATTGAACCCAGGGCCTCATGCATGCTAGGCAAGCACTTTCCATTGAGCTACATTCCCTTGAGCTACATCCCCAGCAGATTTTAAACTTAAGATTACCATTTGTTTTTAGCACATAGATTAAACTATTACTTTGTTTTTATTGGTCATATAGAAAACTTGGTTTGGTGTTTTATCTCTAAACTGTCAAAATATTTAACAGTGGATTATTTCTAAATATATTTAAATTCGTGTTGGATTTTAATAAAGTCTTTCTTCCTGACTAGTTAGTTGTTCAGGAGCAGTTATACACAATTTAAAAATCAAAATGGGGCTAGTGAGGTGACACAGCAGATAAAGGTCCTTGCTACGAAGCCTGATGACCAGAGTTTGATTCCCCCAGACCCACATTGTGGAAGGAGAGAATTGATTACCTGAAGTTGTCCTCTGATCTCTAAACATGAACTATGTGGCATGTGCTTGTGCACACAAATGCACATGTGTGCACAAATAAGTATAATTTAAAAAATTTAAAGATCATAATGTCAGGAACATCAAGTCTCCCCTCAAAACAGTGGATTTAAGAAGGAGCAAAAGAATGAAATCAGAAAAGAAAGAGGAATTTATACTAAATATTGATGGTTTTTGTCAGTTCTCTGTCATAAAAAGTCGTGATTCAGATCTAGTTGGGAAACTGCTTAGCATTCATACCACATGTCCCATGTACCCATCATGGTTTGTCTTCATTTTTCTCTTTTCACCCACTCCCGCCTCTACTAGACACATAGTGACACCTGCGGCAGCACCCCAGAGGAGACTGCGCCGCCTCATTGCACACTGAGCTCCGCACAGGAATTTAGGGGTTTACGCTCCTTTCATTTTGTGATTCTGCTCAAGATATCTTTTGGCCAAGTTTTTTGGCTAAAAATCAAAATGTCCTTGGACCTCTTAGCAACATACTCTGTTCCAAAGACCAAAAATGTCAAAAGTATTTAGGAGCTCTTATCTAATCCCTAAAAGAATTTTATGGGTTACTTCTTGGAGAGAGGGGAATGTTAGAGTAGCGAAAAGCTCCATTAAAAAAAAAAAAAAAAAGTACACAGAGTTGTTCAGGAAAAAGTGATGGGGAGATATGGGAGAGTGGGAGGGGAGGGAGTGGGCATGGATTTGATCAAAACACCTTATATTTGTGTCTGAAATTCTCAATAAATTTATTTTAAAGTTAAAAAATAAAAAAAGATATCTTTTGGCCAGCAGGTGGGGAAAGGGGCAGAAACTTCATAGGATTTCTTATGGGCCAAGCCTAGGTTTGGAATGATCACTTCTGCCCACATTCCATGAGCCGGGCTTTGATCTTATGGCCTTAGTAAACTGCAGAGAAAGATGGGAAATAGAGTTTCTTTGCATCCTCGTGCAACAAATTGAGTTCTGATAAACAGCAGTACTTTGCCACATAATCCTACAAGTAGTCTTCTGCCCTGCCCCTTCTCCATTTTGTTAATTTCCCTGATCCCTCTTCAATAATACAGTTACAGTATCTGTGACTTTGCTTACTAAAAATTTGTCTTCCACAAGCTCTTGCTATATATTGACAGCATATCCTTATTTTTAATATATCTGATTTTTTTTTCTGTACTTCCACTTTTTCAAATCACATTTGTTTGTTTATATGGGTACTACAGTGAGAATGTGGAGATCAGAGGACATTTGTAGGGGTTGGTTCTTTCCATCTACCATGTGGGTCTTGATGCTCAAACTCAAGTCATCACGTTTGACCACATGGTGCTTTTATCAGCTGAGCCATCTCACTAACCCCTCTGTACTCCCTCTTAATGAATGCTCTTTAGTGATCATTTGTGGTAACTCAGAAACCATTGTCTATCTTTGGTATTCAAGTTTTATCTGGCAAAAATGCTTTGACAAGGCTGGCGAGATGGCATAGTAGCTAAAAGCCCAATGACTTGAGTCAGATCTCTAGATCCCAAAGTGATTTAATTTAAAATTAAAATTTATTAACTAAATTTAATTAAAATTTTTTCAATGAAAAAAAAAAGTTTTAGGGCTGGAGAGATGACTCCGTGCTGAAGAGCATATACTGCTTGTCCCGAGAATCCAGAACCTCTTTGCTTATGCCCTATTGGCCAGATTCTGTACAAGGCAGAGAAGATGAACAGTCACAGAATTTATGATACATACATTACATTTCCTTACAGTATGCTGCCAGTTTCTTTGCTCCCATCCAAGTCAACTTTTTAACCTGTTTTTTGAATGTGTGAACTCATAAACAAGATCAAATTGAAAATATTCTACCATTTAATCTATAGGATAGTAAGTTCACATGACCTTCCTTACTGACCATTACAGTGCAATTTGAATCCAGGGCCCCACCCCCCTTTTTGACTTCTCCAATCTATGTATTACATAAAGTGGGAATTACTTTGGGGACTTTAGGAAAGTGTGAGCAAACAGATGCATGCAAAGATATTGAATTAGTTACTTTCCTGTTGCTGTGATAAAACACCATGACCAAGGCAACTTATAGAAAGAAGAGTTCATTTGAACTTACAGTTCCAGAGGGGTGGATGAGTCCATCATGGTGGGGAGTCATGGCTACACAGGCCACCAGAGCAGAAAGCTATGCTCTCAGGTCTTCAAGCATGCACATGAAGCAGAGAGAGCAAAACAGGAAGTGAGGCAGAACTATGAGCTCTCAAAGGCCTCCTCAGTGATATACTTCCTCCAGCTAGGCCACACCTCCTAAAGGTTCTGTGGCGTTCCCCAAACATCACCAACCACCACTGTAGTGTTCAAACACTTGAGCCTATGGGGGATGCTTCTCATCCGAACTACCACAGATACTTATTACAGTATTATTTCCAGTATGACAAAATTGGGAGGGTTGGGTGGATGTGATGGTGTGTGCCTATAATCCCAGCACCTGGTATGTAGAGGCAGGCTGATCTCGAGTTTGAAGTGAGTCAAACTTGAACATAGTAAGTTCCAGGTCAGCTAGGGGCACATAATGAGACCCTGTCTTAAAAAAATCAAAACATTGGGAGGGTTGGCTAAAAAACTGTTGGTAACTCCCATGTACTGAAATGGTATGTGACTATTAAAACTGCAGATACTCATTGATACTGAAATACTGCCACACTATTAGTACAAATAGTAAAGTACAATTTCAAATTTTGTTTATTTTTAAGACAGCTGGCCAGGAACTTGCTTTGTAGCCTAGACTGGCCTTAAACTTGCAGTCTTTTTCCTTAGACTCCAAGTGCTGGTATAACGTGTGCATCCACACACTTGGCCATTGTAATTTTTTTTCTTACAAATGTTTGCTGTGTAAATTTCATTTTCTCTTTCGTTTGAGTACATTTACAGTAACTTTCTATTTTTAAAAAAAGTTTTAGAAATAGAGTGCAGGTTGAACTTCATCCTAACATAAACAGTGTACAAAAATCTCTTCACATAAGGCCTTCCTGTTTATTGTCTTAGCTTTCCTCTTGATCTTACCAGTACAACTAGGCTGTTTGGTGGTGGTTTATTAAGAAATAGAAGTTTTCTTCTACTTTTTTCTTCCTGTTTTTATCTCATAGTTAAATGCCATGACTTAAGTGAATGCAAAATCAATTAATTGTTCATTCTGGAAATATATTTTTCCCAAATTTTTCTTGAAAACAAACAAGAAAAGAGAAGTGTAAGGATAACTTTGGGCAGAGGAATTAAGAGCCTTCTTCAATCTAGAATCATAATGTTAGTACCTCATGAATAGACAATGATTCAATATCCTGAAAAGAGTAATTTGAAGAATAAGGAGCATGCAACAAAGATCATTTGGTTTTCTACCTTCTGTTAGTGAAATATTTCCATGGAAAACTTCAGCAAGTTTCACAATTTTCAGAAAGTGTGAAAAGCGAGCTTAGAACCAATTCATCTCCATGTCAGTTTGCATGGCAGCCCTCATAGGAATGTTCACATGGACCATGTGACCATAGCACCCAGAGTGGAGTTGCTGCTTGCAGTGAGCTGCCCTTTAAGCTTCTTGGTAGTTTAATCATCAGAATCAGCATCTATCCTCACACTAGCACGGCTTCCTTAGGATCCCAGTTGGTGGCACCCATATCGTATGTAGAGAAATACTAGAGCCACCAAAAGACAAAGCCAGTTCTTAGTTGGACATTAGGCAGTAGCTTCTCAAATTGCCATCACCTTTGGACAGAAGTCACTGAGCAATTAGAAACTCAGTCAACCATCTCCACAGTGACTAATCAGAATGACTTCTTTCCAGACTTTGTTCTGTTTTCTTTCTTAAGATTTATTTGATATATGTATGTGTGTGGTGGGGGTGGGGGTATATTCATATGAGTGCTGGTACTTGTGGAGAGAGGCCTCAGATCCCTTGGAGCTGGAGTTGTGAGTCACCCAGTGTAGATGCTGGGACTCAAATGCTGGTCCTCTGCTAGATCAGTATGCAGATCTTAGCTGCTAAGCCATCTCTCCAGCCTATTTTGTGTTTTTGAGATTGCATCTTGCTGTGTAGTTCTGACTATAGCCTAGATTGGCCTCAAACCCAGTTGTGTAGCCCAAGCTGGCTTTGAACTCAGGATCCACCTGTTTTAGCCTCCTGAGTACTGGGGTTACAAACTGCCATTATACAGGGCTATTTTCTAGCCCAATTTTTCAAAAAACAAAACAAACCCTTCCAGTTCATATACTGGAAGAGCAACGCCTTCAAGAGGGCATTGCCAATGATTCTTAGGAATGAAGAGATTTTTATTACTCCCGAAAAAAAAGGCATTGTATGAAATATCTAATGCAGAATAATGCTAATAACTACTGAAAGTAGGTGTAAAA